GGTCCGTCGTACCCTCCTGCATCCAACGGTCACATATCCGCATTACAGTTGTTTGGTTTCGTCCAACACGAATACGAATTCCCTGAAAGATCCACAATCTCGGTAGGTGACTTCCCTTCCTATATCGAACTCGGATAGTTGATCAAAAGCTGGTCGCGGTTTTGTACGAGACGTAACTGATCGTTTATTGAAAAAACCACAAGAAAAACACAGTTGCCGAATTTGAAATCGTTGAAATCTCCAAGCCTTAAATAGCTCTTTGTGATGGCACCACAGGCGTGCGTGATGTGTCTGAGCTGAAATTCTAATCATTTGCATATCTCACCTCAGCTAATGCATGTTGTAAATTCATGTTATTTGAGTGCTTCCTTCAGGGTGTTGCATTTACGGTGGCCAGCAGTGTATTAATTGCCTTTTGCTTTCCTTATGACTGATTGTAATTTAAGACATCCGACTACGCGCTCGCGCGCGTTCGGAACGTCATTTTGAAAAAGCGTATAAAGGAATAATTTTTTTTTTGAAATTTGTTATCTCTGTGAACTAGAATACACACATTAAACTTTTTCAGGAATATTATACAAGAAAAATTATTTAAATGCAATTTTTGGCAAAAAATGATGAAAAAATGGCATATTTTCAAAACCTTCTTTAAAGGAAATTCTTTTTATATAATAATAGTTTTCCTGTATATATAGCTAAGACTTCTATACAGAGATTGAACTACAATTTTTGAAAATATTAGTTAGAAATGGATTTATTCATATTTTATGCATTAGAATAGAGAAATTTTAACAAAAAAAATCGGTTATTACTTCAATTGATCGTAACTCTGAGAACAACGGAATTTTTCGAAAATCCTAGTTCCGTCTCTTAAGAGAATTTATATCTATATATAAGCAAAATGTTATTACAATAGAAAATTTTTTCGTAAAACAAGAATTTTTTGAAAATATTTCATTTTTCATTTTTTGCTAAATAATTCTATTCAAGTAATTTTTTATTGTAGTAATACTCTTAACAATTTTATATGTTTATTACAATTCAGGTGACACTAAAAATATGAAAAAAACTTATTCACTTATGCGCCTTTTCGAATCATGGTTCCGAACGCAATGGGACACCTTAAGAAATGAAATTCACTGTATTTCTGTTTAAAGAGCTACTATACTTAAATATATCACAATCATATTTAAGATTTTCTATTAATTATTTTTCACACAGATCATAGAAGTTTCCCACTATTCTGTATATTTTAAAAAAGCGGTTTTTACCTTCGGTTATCGAAAACAAATGAAGGTCTTTTGTCAAAAAAAGCGATAAATTTTAAAAAGCAATACATGCATCTTATTTAATCCGGAAGAAGGAAGTGTACTTTGAAAGGGAAATACGCTGCCATGCTTATTGCTCCCTCTGAAAACAGCTTCCAAGCCTTAAGATACGGCGAGAGGAAATAAGTTGAATTCTTTTTTGATCAGTCAAAGCGTACTCAGTTTCCTCTTAAGAGCGCAGTCACAGCAGCTTGTTTTTTTAACACCAAATGACATTGGCAGTTTCTCGGAAAATGTATTGTTTTTATTAAGTTCTGCTAAAAAAAATCGCCCTTCAAATGATCAATTTTTCTTTTATGCGTAAGCTTTCCTAGTCATTATTGATCAAAAAGCTCTGTTAGTGTTTTAAGGATTAAGAGAGTATGATGTTTTCAGAAATAAAAGCGTTGCAATTTTGCACGATTTTTTCCCCCGTATTCCTTAGATTTATAAAGGAATAATCTGTTAAATATTAACGAATTTTCTTTCAATGTGTTTGTCAATTTTGTAGTATATTCAATATTCTTAATTCCATTCGTTACATATATATTACCGTTAAAGTGCATAATTCAGTTATTTCATAAAATAATTAGGTATTTCACGAAATACCTTGATAAGACAATTAATGTATATATAGAGGAAAGATTCCATACATTACTTATTCTATGCACAAACTTTTTTTTTCTCTAATGAGGCTGAGGATTGGTATTTTTACCTTTGGGCAGACAGAGTACATTCCCCAGGAGATGGTATCACTTTTTAGTGCGGCACCATATAGGCAATACCAACTGCTGCAAGTAATTTTGACGCCCAGTTTCCTCCCCAGAAGGAGACACCTGAGCTCTGACGATGCGTAATTGTACTCAGGAATTTAATTTTGCCAAGAGCACCCAAGCCAACGGGTACTCAAGTTATTTTTACATGCGCATAATCATACGACATGGACGCTATCGATTTCCTGCATCATGAAAATCCACCAACTTGGGCCGGGATCGAAACCGCGACCTTCCGTGTAGAACGCCAACGACAAACCAACCACGTCACCCAGTTGGCGAAAAAGATGCCAACCGCACGCGGTGTTCACACTCTCAAGTACTGACCGCGCCCGATGATGGTTAACTTCGGTGATTGGATGAGAACTGGTGTTTTCAGCATGGTATGGCAGTCAGCAAACGAACTAACTAGTTATTCTATAAAACAACTAATGACAGACCAATAAAGAGTGAAAAATAAGCAATTTCAAAGTTATTTTATAAATTTATTGATAATAAATAACTAAATTCTCTGGAGAAATACATTTTATCCCTATTGGAGAATGATTAATTGATGAATAAGGGAAAGCAGATGATATAATTTATTGTTGCTCATATTAACATAAATTTAACAGGATAGTGGGTGTGTGTGTGTGTGTGTTGCTATTGTTTATTTAAATATTATTATAAAAATAAATGCTGAGAGAAGAATAACTGTTGCTTTATAAAAACACTGTGAAAACTTTTTCAAATAAAAATGTAAGAGAATAATTATAATTTTTGAAATACCCCATAATAGTTTACTTTTCATTATTTATTAGAACAAGGATTGCTGTGATAGCTTTTTAAATTGTGGTTCAAAACTGACTAAAAGCAACTAGAATCGGTTCAAAGTTCTTTCGTGTGCCGTTTCATATTTTAACGATCAAATAATCGTTATTCTATAGAATACCTAGTTAAATCGTAGAGTTCAATAATTTTATATATTTTAACTGACTTGTCTAGTTATTTCATGAAATACCTAGATATTTTATGAAATAACAGGTTTTACACTTAAACGGTAACATATATACCGTATTTACTCGAAATTAAGCTGCTTTTTTTTTCAATGTTAATGTTACTGAAAATCGGGCGAGGCTTAGAATCTTAAGAAACAAAATTTGTTGGATGGGGCAGTTAGAGGTTTGTTTATACATTTAAAAGTTGTTCTGGTAAAATAATTAATTATTCACTTCTTATCAGTTCTCATTTTAAAATTATCTTAATTTTGTAAAAATGGGTATCGATTTTCCATTTTATATTATTTTTAATTTTTCACAAACATTTATTTAGAATTTGGGATGTGGTTCAGCATTGATGGTGGCTTAGATTAGAATAAATAAGGTATTTATAAGAGAAAAGCAATTTACGGTACTTTTCCATTTCGCCAAGTTGGCGTTATTGGCGACAACACACAATATACACATATAAATATTAATAAATATTAGTTCAGATTGGTTTCATCCATTTTTGATATATTATGATATAGGTTACTGATAAGAAAAACCATGGTTTGTTTTGTAAATATGGTAATAAAAGTCTACCAGCTGAAATATTAAGTTTGGCGTCGGTTGTGTCACTTTTGGCGACTTGATTGCTTGCACCGGCGGAACGGAAAAATACCCAATTTAATTACTTATCCCGAAATCAACGGAACTATTAGACCAACAGACTTGAAACAGGAAAGCGCCTTTTGTTGAATAGAGATCCGCTGAGAACGAGTTTTTTTGGGGGAAAGATGAAGGAAATCAAATGTGTGTAACAAAAAATTCCATTTTAAAATATTATAGACCTTACAAACATCAAATTTGATAAACTTGATTTTTTACTGAGCACATATCTGTTAAGAACGGGTGCTGAGGAAACCGTTGCATAAAGGGGTTACGAGGTTTATAGATAAAAAAAATTCCGTTTTTGAACTATTAGATCTATAGTCATGAAACTTGGTAAGAAATACTAACAGCAGGCATTATCAGAATTGACTTGAAGGGAGAAAGTTATGGGGGGTCTTTTTGATAAAAGAATTTCCTTATTTTCATATACGTATTAATGCGTTTGAATTCAATATGAAAAATCAACTTTCTTCTATCCAGTTCTATAAGCTTGCTAAAATACAACTTGTATTTTGAAAATATGTAAATATAATATATTTAAATCTCATCACTTTATGAATTCAAACCTTAATTTTTAATCTTATCCCACATTTGATGTTTAACTGATGGCTCAATACCGGTAATTAATGAAAAATAAGGTGTTTTTTCTTTTAAGTGTATTTTTTTTTACAAACATCATAAATTTCAAAATTTTGCTAGTATTACAACATAATTGATCCAAAAAATCAAAAATCAGCTAAGTATTTTGTGATGCACGAGAACTTTAATCTTTTGAATTTTCTAAGTACTTAGGTTACGCTATAGTGATGAAAAGAGTAAAGAAGTCTGTGACGGGGCTATTCGCGAGATTTCCGAACTAATCCTCTTGGGAAACTTTGGGGCTAGCATTTATACTAATTCACAGCCTTTTCAGGAAAAACACGAGATAGATATATGTTAATTAGTTCGACTATATAAAGTCTATAGGTTTTGTAAATGTAAGGGGAGAAGGAGCCGCCAAGCTGTGAAGTAAGTTGAATATCGGAGAATTACTTCACGAACTTAGCACGCACTTATAAGGTGTAAATTAATAGATTGAATATTTAAGATAGTAGATTCAGTACCGGCCTGAGGTTAATTAGTGATCGTTCTCCTTGTCCATTTCTGGTAGTCGGGTTTACTTAGAATTGAGTATTAGGATTAATCGACGTTTTAGGAATCACTCCTAGGTTTCTTCTTATAGCTAAACTTGTGATTGTTTAAGTGTTTGTCAGTACTTGAATAAATATATTTGTTATTATGACGTTTGTTGGTGATGCTGTGTTTCCTCTTACACTTAGAGACGTGTCGGGCAGAGTGAGCGGGGTCCCACGTAGGACCCCGCCACCACAAGTCGTAATTTTTCAGTAAATCATGAAGGTCTTTTTATTGGGAAATTCAGGACGTTGAAATTCTGACTACGAAACATGCAGGACTTTCTCCCGTTTCTCAGAAACATTATATTTTAAAGAGTCCCAGCATATTTATATGTTAATAAACTTCTTTTTTTATCTCTGATCACCATAACTTAGTGCTTCTCAAACTTTCATTATTTGAGACGTAATATTAAATAATAATTTTCATCGCACCCTCCTCCTCACAATAACACACAATATATTGAATTCAATAACATCATGCTTTGACGCGAAAGGTACAACACGATTTCAACCTCTTAAGTACACCGACGTATATAAACGTCTTTCTCAATGAAACGATAAATGCCCCGTCGTATTTATACGTCTTACCAAAGTACGAACTTTTCTGTTCACTGCTATCCATAAAATTATTTCGAAGGCTTTAGAATGCATTGAAAGGACCTTGACAGTGGTTGCGAAGGATTTACTTATTTCAGAGCGATTTGCTTAACTTTGAACCGGCACAGTTTTAACGGATAAATTAAAAACCGTATAAATTATCAAGATAAATATTAATTTCTGGATATAATTACTTATACGCAAGCTGGTAATTCTTAAACTTGTTCTTAACTTAGTATTGTTAAACTAATTGTAAAATACACATTGTGCAGTACTGATATATTGATAAGTGTATTTTATCAGTAAATGTGTATTTTATTTTCTATTATTCCAGAATGTATTTCATTTGTTTACTTTCAATAAATGAATTATTTTCTAAATTAATCTTTTATTTTCAACTTTTCAATATTCTCAGACTCTCCTCGTACAGTTATCGCGGCCCACTAGGGGCGTGCCCCACAATTTGAGAAATGCTGCCATAACTAATATTCGATTTAATGATAATAATGATATAATGATAACTAAATTTCCAGTTAGACACAGATATAGTTTCTAGAATTAGATCACTATTTATTTGATGCCTTGTTTATGTAAACCTAATAGAAAATTACAGGTACTTAAATCGACTGTATTGTACACTCATGTCCATAAATTAAGGATAATGAAGTTCAGACAAAGAAAGAGACAGAAACACAACAAATTTGACTTATTTGTAAAGTCTATTTATTAAACAAAAGGTAAAGAGCAAAAAAGATGCTATATGTTTGACATAATTAATAAAATTGCGATTTTTACTCCCTGGAGAAAATTTCAAAAAAGAACCTATTTACAAAAAACAGTATAACATGGTTAGTATGATGGTTAATACGGAGCATGACTCCCGGACGATGCAATACAGGCCTTACAACGCCTACGCATGCTGAGTATCAAATTATCAATCTGATCTTGGGGAATATTACACCACTCATCAAGCAATGCGCTCCGAAGTTCCGGTAGACAGGTGGGAGGGGGTTGACGGGCTGCAATTCGTCGGCCAAGCATATCCCACACATGCTCTATTGGATTCAAGTCCGGTGAGTATGCTGGCCAATCCATACAGGTGATATCCTCCGATTGAAGGCATTCGTCTACAATGTTTGCAAGGTTAGGACGGGCGTTGTCATCCATAAACAGAAATTCAGCACCCATGGCGCCCCGAAGCAAACGTACATGTTGTTCCAGAATGACATCCCGATAGATGTGGCCTGTCATCGTTACACTCTGAGCATGCAGGTCAGTTCTGGAACCAAGAATAATTCCTCCCTAAACGAGCCATCCTGCACCACAGTAACGGTGTCGTTCAATGTTGTTCTCTTGGTGGAAACGGGTACCTGTCGCTCTCCATGTGAAAGTCCGGCGAGAATCAGACTGCAAACTAAACCTGGACTCGTCGGAAAACATCACACAAGACCACTGTTGCGGTGCCCACAATGCATGCTCTCTACTCCAGGTTAATCTCAGGCGACAGTGAGTTGCGTTAAGGGGAACGCATCTGACAGGCCTACGAGCATATAGACCAATGAGCTCTAAGCGTCTGTATACGGTCTGCCTTGAAACTGTCGTACCGGTAGCTGAAGAGAGCTGACGAGATAGGTCTGATGCTGTGCTCCGTCTGTTTCTTTTGGCAGTAACTGCCAAACACCTGTCCTCATTCGGCGTTGTAACTCGGGGGTGACCTGTGCTGTAACATCTACTCACATTACCATCATCTTGGAATCTTTGCCAATGCCTGGAGATGACACTCTGGGAGATTCTAAGTTCCTCGGATTCTTCCAGCTGGGTACGTCCACATTCCAGTCGTTCGATAATTCTACCCCGTAAAAAATCCTCCAAATACTTCCTTTGTGCCATAACTATGCGGTTATTGCACTGAAAGGCTTTTAAAGCGCTTGTGAACAATTTTACTTCTTTGCCACCATTCCTTATATACCCTCTCTTACACTCTCGTCAT